AACATGGAAAAAGACACCAGAGCCCAATCCTTTTGATACCGTAGATATTTGGGATGAGTGAATTTTCCCCTTAGAGGCAGTATGGGCCGTATGGCTAAATCTGGATACTCATGTTACTCGTGTTATTCCCAAAAATCACCTAGCGAACATAAAACAGCTGGGTCTAAATGAACATCTTTATAAGGCCATACATAAAGCTGTACTCCTCGCGACGTCCAGATGTCTACGAAAATTTTTGGGAAATACTCCAGCATACCAAGTCACCTAGGGCTCAATAATATAGAAAGAGTCCCATCAGAGCTCAATCCTTTTGATGCCGTAGGTATCTGGGATGAGTGAATTTTCCTCTTAGAGGGAGTGTGAGTCGTATTGCTAAATCTGGACAATACTCAAAAGCAAACTTAATTCCAAGCACATAGTAAAAGCAATAAACACATCCGCAATAACACCTTTCACATAGTCCTCATTTGGCGTTATAAAATTGTCGAATACGAAAACTGAAGAACTAAATGGACCAAATAGAACCGTAATAACTAAATACGCATCAACCACTCCAAATCATACATTCAACGTATGACCACCAAGCACACAAGGCGGGAAAAGAACGGGGTGTTTTGGAAATATCACCGACTACTTAAAAATACAAAAAAAAACCGCAAAAAGCAGATGATAGCACAAGGAGCGGAAGTAATGTGTCTTACGAAAACAGATGAAGAAAAAGTAAGAATTATTAAAAGAAAAATTATAAGAATAAACAGACCAATAAAGCCAGAACAATGAAGCATGAAATAAGAAATATAAATATAACCGAAGAAGAAGACATAGTAAAATTTATTAATCCATAAAGACATATAGTAATAGATATTAATAAACAGATTTAAATAACATTTTTGTCATTTTCCACTAAAATATTACTTAATTATAATACCAGATCATTTTTTAATTTTTAACTATCAACAAAAATGTAATATAATATGATGTACGAATTTAATACTATACTCACAAACAAAGCCGCAACATACATAATTTCTTTGTCAGTAAAATTGTTTAGATAATGAATGAATTTGGTATATTATATTCCGACTGACATAGCAGAACAGTAAAGTATTATACATAAAGATGTTGTTATAAGATATCTTTGCTTAGTTGGTTTACTAGTAACCATATAAGTTATAGCATATTTGATAAAATTACTGTCTACACAACTTGGCAACTCAGCCAATTGATATACGGACAGAAAACTGCAATTTATGTTAGGATTTGAAAATATTACAGAGTCGTCATGTAGAAATCTACAGTTCAGAATTGGTATATCTAATGAACTTTTAAACGAATCAAACACATTGGATATCCATTATGGTATCCCTCAGGGTAGTGTATTGGGTCCTCTAATTTTTATAGTATTTATTAATGATATAGCTTTGGTAACTAATTTACTGACTGGGGTTAACATTATCAGTTATGCGGATGATACCAACATTCTAGTCACACGAATGTCTGATCAAAATTTGCAAAATAAAACTACACAGATACTCATCAAATCAAAGTATATGATTTTCACGTCAAATAATTTATTAAACCATCAAGCCACTATAGAAGCAGTAATAGATAAAATAGACTGCACGAAGTTGCTGGGGGTACTTCTAGACAGTAATTGTAAATGGTCAAACCACATTTCTAATTTGAAATCCAGGTTACGTAGCGCATGTTATGCATTGAGAATTCTTTCACGCCTCTTTCATACATGAATATTAAAAACAGTATATTTTGCTCATTTTTACTCAATAGCCAAATATGGCATTGAAGCCTGGGGTTGTACCTCTGAATTAGAGCAGATATTCGTACTTCAGAAAAGAGCTATTAGGATAATGTATAAAATGAAATTTCGAGATTCTTGTAGAGGCATCTTTAGACAAAACAATATTCTTACAATTCCTGGTCTGTATATATTTTCGTGTATAATGTATTTGCATAGCGAAATTTATGAATTTAATAAATTTCAATTTAACCATGTTTATTCATCAAGATTCAGAGACAATCAATTTATGCTTCCACATCATTCTGTTTTGTTGGAAGGTAGCACACATTATGCAGCCATAAGTTTCTTTAACAAATTACCAATAGATATACGAATGAATTTACATCAGCCAAACTTTCGGAGGTGTGTACATCAATACATTTGTGAGCTAGAGCCATATTCTAAAAATAACTTTTAAGTATATTTTATCGTGTTTATTAATTTATATACTTTTAAGATGTATGTCTGTAACTTTGACTTGTCTCATACATGTACTTTGTATAATGCGACTTGACTTGGTTCTTTTGTTTTGTTAAATGTGTATTTTCAACCAATGTTTTGGCTCACGAAGTTAAAAAATATACCATAAAAAATTAGTTATTCTATTTGTTTATTATAGTTTATTTTTAAGAACGAGAGAGTAATTAGCATAATTTTAACTGGTACCTCTGACCACTCCATGGGCGTGCTCAAGATTAATTGAAAAATTACTTTGAATAATTGTAAAAAATAAATGAATTATTTCAGTGTTATAAAGTGTTATGTGTATGTAAACAAAAGTGACCTCTTTTATCACACACTATATTAGAACTGACTGGCCTACATTAAAAAGGGTTTTAAAAAATTCACATTTTTTTTAATTTTTAAAAATTACAAAAGAGAAAAAGAGTTTTTAAAACCGTCTAAGGTATGTTAAATAGATGAATAAAAATATTAATATAAAACTTACAGCTACTTGTTACAAATCCAAATCAGATTCAGAAGATGAACTTTCAGAACCAAGATTTATAATAACTGGCTCGATCATTTTATCAGTAATATTGTCCAGCTTCCACATTTTTTCCTCTTCTTTAATAGTGTGATTTACTGCCTTTTCCCAGTTTTCAGGTTTTACATTATTTACGGCCTCCAAAAACAACTGTTTAACATAATGAATTTTAAAAGTGGTATTTTTTCTTGAAACTTCACTCTTTATCTGTGCCCATACCAGTTCAATCGGGTTTAATTCACAATGATATGGTGGGGATCTAAGTACTGTCATTCCACGATTTTTGGCAATTTCATCAATTTCGTATTTTTTAAATTTTTCTTTATGAAGGGCACACAACGAATAAAGTTCCTTTCTTATAGATCCGGGATGGTACGTAATATTTTTTGAACTCAGCCAATTCTGCAAGTCTTTTTTTAACAACTTGGTTGTGGGCAGTCCTTCTATAAGTCGGGAGTGATAACTTGCATTATCCATTACTATTACACAGTTCTTAGGAAGAAGATTTATCATTTGTTCGAACCATTCTTGAAAGACATCAGCGTTCATGTCTTCATGGTAGTCACCGGTACGAGTTGATTCAAAAGTTAATAAACCACCTTCAACAAAACCGTCTGAACTGCCAATGTGTACTATTATCAGCCTGCGTCCCTTTCCTGATGGTGGGTTTAAACCAGTAGATAAGTTATTTACAAAAGCGTGCCTTTGACTTGTAACAGTTTCATCCTGCCAAAATTTATTTGGTGTATGACCCTCGTTGATCCATGTTTCATCAAGATAAAATATTTTTCTTTTTTGGTTTCTCATTTCCTTTATGGTTCTTAGAAAATGTCTTCTCCATATGACAATATCGCTTCTTTCTAATAAAATAGACTTTCTGGGATTCTTTTTCCAGCGGCAGCCTATTTCTTTTAAAAGTTTCCATAACGTACTTCGACTCATTTCTGGGTAATCCTTATCATCTCGAACTGAGACAAGAACTTTATCCAATGTTGGAAATTCTTGTCTAAAGAAGAATTCATGCACTTTCCGTCGAAGTCCTTCTTTAAAATGATATTCTATTTGAAATTTTGGTTTCCCTGGAGCATTACGTGGCATTTGAAAACCTCCACATTTCTCTTCTTTAATAACTCTGTAAATCGTAGATTTCCCAACACCAAGTGTACTGCTAAGTAACTCAACGGTCTCATCAACACTTTCACATAAACGTTTGTCTGTAAATGATTTAAAACAATTAAATAATAATGTTTTTTCATTAACTGTTAAAGGACCAATTTTTCGGCGTTTACACGGCACTTCCAAATTTTCCATAACACTAGTATACACAATAAACTGCACCTTGCAAATGAAGTACCTACTTTTAGTGAACTGTTAAGAATTTTGAAAACGCCACTTGGACCTTCCTACAAAATGGAAAAACCCACTATCACATTTTCTGTGGAATAAGTTTAGAAGGTAATTATCTAGTCAATGACTGTCGTAGATTCCTGGAATTAAAGAATTAAATGTTTGATTGTTGAAACCCTTACTTCGTGGAATGTACTCATTTCAGATAAAATAAAACGTTTTATTTTATCTAAAGAATTAAACTTTATTTTGCAAATAGGTAGGTACTTAAATATTAAACTTATTAAACTTTTATTGGTTATATATAACCAATAAAATAAACATCTTACATTTCTTGCAAATTCATTAGTACCTGTTAACCTCCATCACTCCGACACTGGCAACCTTATTTAGGGATTAGTAACCCTCACAACTATTGTATTCTATTCTGCTCCAACCTTTATACGTGGTGGTCATACTCAATTTAAAATTGTTTTCCTATATACTTCTGTAAACTTGTTGACAAATATCTGTTTTTCATTGAGTCACCCGTATCAACAGTTTAGGGATTTGCATACATAATTTATTGTTTTATTACTCTCTCATACATAAAAATACACTGATCATTTCTTCATTTCTAGACTGGGTTATTACGAGATACACTTTACTTTACGAATGCTAATATACATTTAAAACTCTTCAGAGCATTATACTGGTTTATGACGTTTTCAAAACAATCTTGTATAATATGTAAACAACTTATAGATTCCCATTCTGTTTTTTCACTGAGGCCCAATATATTTTGAAAATATTTATTTTTGTGTTCGTGTTTTGACTTAACTTTATTACGAATAAACCATTATAGTTATATTTTTTTTAATATTTCAGATATTATCCGTAGCAGTCTACAACCACTATAAAAGAATATACAATAATAGTCCTACACAATCAAATATCAGGCAAGACATGGCTGTAATGGAGCAAGGACCCCATAGCGTTACTCATAGAGGTTTGTCCAGATATATTAAAAATAGTCTATTTGTATTTGTTATTTATTTTATTATACACCCCGGGAACGCGAAGAACTGAACATATAAGGTCCAAAAAACAGATTATATCCTCGATTATCTGTGAAGCAGGGAGTATTTGTCGTCAAAGCTACTATTCTGGTTATTATGATATCCGGAATATTGCAACTTATGTCTCTTTTTGAAATGCATCAATCATTCGATATCAAAATTTATGGCCACCTTAATAAAAGACCTCATCCTTGGGATAGGAATATACTATATTATAAAAAACTATAAAAAATATTTGGTAAATTCAATCGATCTAATATTTTATGTCTTACGTCATTCTAAACTTTCTCTCTTCTAATATTCAGAGCATTGCAAAAGTTATCAAACGTATTAAAACAACGGGTGGAATGGCTATAGTATGCATCCTTGCGAAGTGTATCTTTTATGTTTATTTCTTCAACTTCTAACCTGTATATAATATATCAAGGCATTAGTAACTGAATTGCCATAAATAAGGTTAAATTATTGGGGAAAGTGATCATTAGGAACTAATTAAGTAAAACTCTAGAAGTCATTTTAAAATGTTTTATTTATTTAAGCATTCCTAAGGAATAACGAAAAACTGAAGTGAAGTAATAATATACATTTTTTCTTTCTTGCTCCTTTGAAGTTAGTTTGTCGACATTATTTTGGTATCTAAACAGAACTCTAACTTCCGTTTTAATAGATGACAAATCTTCGTTTTATATTGAGCTGAGAATTTTATAAATACACCATAAAAAGAGTAGAGTGGAATGATTTTTTAAAGATTGGTTATCCACCTGATGTATGGTAAATGTGATTCAAATATTGATAGATCGAAGTTTGGCTTTCAGAAAGCACTTTACTCCAGGTGCTTATGCAACGGTATAGATATATTAAAGGATTTGTATTTGTGCTTTGTGGATTTTAGAAAAGCACTTGACAATGTCAATCTTGAACAAGTAATAGATATTCTACAAAAGGCAGGTATTGACAACCAGGATATTCGGATTGGCAAACCTATACTGGGTTCAAACGACAGGAGCAAAAATGGTCAATGAACTTACTATAAGTGTGGTGATCAAGAGAGGTGTCGAAAAAGTGTGTATCTTACACCCACTCCTCTTTAATATCAACTTCAAGGAAATATTTTAAAGAATGTCTGAAAAAGGCAATAGATTGCATACAAATAAACGGTGAGTTAACGAACAACATAAGATGTGCCGATGATACGGTGATCTTTGCCAGTAACATAGGTAAATTACAACAGATAGAAAAGGTTAATGCAAACAGTAAGGAGTAAGGACTACGACCTGAGCGTATTTTCAAGAAGACCAAAGGGTTTCTGATAATCAAAAAGCAACAACTTGCTCGACAGTTAAGGATAAACAACATACTAGTTGGCCATGAAGAATCTTACATAAACCTGGGACCAATGTAAGTCCAAATAGGGACAGACCAAATAGGCGAGGCAATGAAGCAATAAACCATCAAATTTTTGCAGTACGATGGATTTGGAAGGAGAAAAAATTAGGCGAGGAATGCTATTGAACTGAATTGAATAATAGTAGCTGTTATGAACATTGGTAATACTTTTATATGAAGTTTCCCATTTATACATTATACAACAATACACTTATTACATTGAATTAGAAAATGTATTACACATACCTGGTGTTGTATTTTTTCAAGGTGGCTTCAGGAATCATTCCAATCTACATGTGGAGTGGTGTCTTGGAACTATGTCCCGTAAAATACGGAATGAACTTAGCAACTAAACAAAATATCAGCAACACTCCAATATGCCCAAGTTCTATAACATAAGTTTATTCCGATATCCCCAACGAGGGTGATCTATATAAAACCAATTGCCTGATAACTTATGTTCCACTTCCAACCAAATACCAGAAAAAACTGTCAAGATGACGTACCGTAAGACAACCCTTGCCAGAATCGAAAGGCTACTACCCAAATATCACAAATAGGGAAGAACTTGGAGCAACAATCTGTTTTCTACAAAAACCTTACTGACCTTTGCATATTATGGGAGAGTGGAGCAATTTTATTAACAGAAATAATATTTTAATATTTTCTTTAGATGGTTGAATTTTTAAAACGTAAAAAGTAGATGAGATAGTTTGAGAGACACATAAGAAAATAAGTCCGGGAGAAAAAGAAAGGGGAAAGTGTGCAAGAACTGCTGTATTGGCTCCTATAGAAAGTATGAGAGAATGAGAGTAAAGTTTTCCGTAAATACTTATATAATAAATGATGATTTTATCTATACTCTCAAAAGAGCAAGTTCAGAGATTTTATTTAATAATTATTTGACTGCTTACCCCAAAAATTTACCGTAAATATTAAATCAGTCCTTTTTGCTTGATCCTTTGTTTGTCAAAAAGTAAAATATTGCAGATCAACCCCACATAACAGGTTTAGGTAATGCTTCACTAGGTCTGAACTTGGGAGGTACCTTTGAATCAACTCCACCGGCAGGAGCCAAAGCGGGACAGGGCTCGGATATTCTGGAAAGGACTACACATGAACTGAAGTTAGAGAAAAGCAATATACTCTTGTTGGGACCCACAGGATCAGGTAAGTCGAAAATATTACTTATTTTTTCCTACTTAAGCCTTAATTCCTAATTTTTTTCGAGAAGTCGACAATCGGCAATTTTGTCGCCATTCTTAGAGCGAGAAAAAAACAGCTGACTAATATATGTTTCTCTAGGTAAAACACTTCTTGCTCAAACCATAGCTCAGTGCCTAGATGTGCCTTTTGCCATATGTGATTGTACTACCTTAACACAAGCAGGATACGTAGGCGAAGACATCGAAAGTGTCATCGGGAAGTTGCTGCAAGATGCCGGATACAGCGTGGAAAGGGCACAAGTCGGCATTGTGTTCCTCGACGAAGTTGATAAGATCGGAGCAGTACCTGGCATTCACCAACTGAGGGATGTAGGAGGTGAGATCAACTTTTATAATATGTTGTTTACTAAACTAAAAGTACCACTATTATTACAAGGGTGGTCTGACAAAGACATTTTACGTTTTCAAAGAAGTTTTATTTTGAATCATAATCTCTAATATCATTACGTTTCATTTATCGGTGTTCTGGTCCCTATATCACCTCATCATAGTGTTGTAGAAATATAGATCGCAATGACTTCCTAATTGGATGAAAGCTCTGACTAAATGGGAGGTCATGAGATTTCAAAATAGAAAGAAATTAGAGGTCTAGCACTTAGCAGTGTAGATATTTTAATTTCTCTTTGTCAAGACACTCTTTTTAAGCATGTGCAGGGTTGTGAACTTCTTCATATACTATGTAATTTTATAACGTTGGTTAAAATCATGGCTATCTTAATTTTATCACTTATTAACTGTAGCATGCTTGTATCAATACCATACCAATCTCGAAAGTTCTTCAACTATGAAGTCTTTCTTTGTTCTGCACTACGTTTGCTTGCTATTTCCCCTTGCATAATATGTTGAAGCAACAAACTATATTTGGGACTTCTCATTACATGTCCGAAATACTCCAGCTTTCTCTTCTTGATGCTTTGTATAGTCTCAGTAGTCTTGCTGAGACGTGCTAGTATTATGGAGTTTCGAATCTTCTCCACCCACGAAACTTTTAATTAAAATCACCACATTTCGAGCCTCAAGGCGATTTAGATCATTTTTATTCACAGTCTAAGACTGGACACCATAAAGTAAGACCAAGAACACGTAACAGTGAATTAAGCGAATCCGCAATGCCAGTTTTGGGTTTCTGTTACATAATACCTAGGACATACTTCTAAAAGAGGCTCTGACGTGCTCAATTTTGGATCTAATTTCTGTGTTACAATTTAACTGATATCCAAGGTAAACAATTTGATCAACTTGCTCAAGTTTGATACTATTTACATACATAAACGATTTTATATTCTGTTGTTTACTTACTACGAGTATTTTGGTTTTCTGTATGTTCAGATCCAGACCTGCTTCCTTGGAACTATCAATGGAACTGTCAAGTAATGTTTGCAGATCTTCTTGGGTTGAAGGTAGGAGTACTGTGTCGTCCGAATTTCACAAATTATTGATAATTTCACCGTTCACAATTATTCCTTCTTGTTTATTAAAAATTGCATTTCTGAAAATTCTTTCGGAGTTAAGGTTAAAAAGCACGGGCAACAAGAGCCATGCCGCACTCCTCTTTTAATATTAAGAGCCTGTGATTCCAAACCGTCTACTAAAATTGATGTTTGATTCCAATACAAATTTGAAATTATGCGAACGTTTCAGTCATTCAAGCCAATATTTTCTTAGAACTTCGATCAATATAGTGCTTAACACGATCAAATTATGCGAACGTTTCAGTCATTCAAGCCAATATTTTCTTAAAACTTCGATCAATATAGTGCTTAACACGATCAAATGCCTTTTGGAAGTCAATAATACAAGAGTACATATCTGCAGATATATCACGACATCTTTGTGCAAGTACATTCACTCCAAACAATACCTCTCTCGTTCCAAACTCGTTACGGAAACCAAACTGTGTGTCACTAAGGTACTTCTCGCATTTAATATAGATACGACCATGTATTTTACCTTTAGAAAAATTTTCAATTAATGGTTAACAGGCAACAGTACGATTATAAAATGAACTGTCCGATATCTTCACAGTTGAAAAAGGAGTTAGACAGGGTTGCATATTGTCACCGGCATTATTTAACATGTACTCTGAAAACATCTTTACAGAGGCCTTGGACCTCATCGATCAGAAAATGGGATTGCTCTAAATGGACAACTTATAAGCAACATTAGATGTGCAGACGATACAATGTTGCTGACAGATAGTGCGCAGGGGCTCCAAAGGATGATGGATAATGTTGTAGAAATATGTAACAAATCCGGCCTAAAACTAAATTGCAAGTAGACAAAAATAATGATCATTTGCATAAATTACAATTGCAAATTACAATTTGCCTAAATTACAATTAATGATACACTGTTAGAAAGAGTGGAAAAAATATGCTATTTAGGCTGCAATATTAAAGATACTTGGGATCACAGCCACGAAATAAAAACTGGTATTGAAAAAGCCAGACGCTCTTTCAAGCCTTAGGAAGATTTTCTGCAACTTATCTCTAAGTATCAATATACGCATAAGAATTCTTAGATGTTACGTCTTTAGTATCCTCTATGGAGTAGAAAGCTGGAGCCTTACAGAAGATGCCATAAAACGATTGGAGGCATTTGAAATGTGGTGCTACCGACGTATGTTGAGGGTCTCATATATACACCACACAAGTAACATAACTATTCTCCAGAGGCTAAGAAAAGACAAAGAAATTATTAACACCATAAAAAACAGAAAATTGGGTTACTTCGGCCACATCATGCGTAATGATAAATACCAACGTCTACAGTTGATTCTACAGGGCAAGATTGAGGGTAAGAGAAGACCTGGATGTATAAGTATATTTTGGCTGGCCAATATTAGGAAATGAACTGCTCTAACGTCAACTGATCTATTTAGAGCTGCTGTAAATAGAATAAGATAGGTCAATGTGGTCGCCAACATCTCTAGAAGATATGAACATTTAGAAGAAGAATGGCTTAACAGACTGATGGTTCCATAATCCGCACAGGTTTTTGCTGTGTTCTTAGGTAGAGCTAAGAAAAATTAATTGAACCAAAGATTAGGTAGGTGTTTGCTGGTGGTATTGAAAAACGAAGTTTTAGCCTCTAAAACATTGCTATCATTTATAAGCTTGTATATTTCACTTGGAATTTCATTAAGACCTGCGCTTTGCCATTTTTTGATGATTGTATGGCTTGTATTACCTCGTTTTTAATGTAATTTTCCCATTCTTTAAGTTTATCCTCTACTTCAAATATTACTTTACCGTATTCATCATATAGTAGTGCAGTTTGTCTCTCAGTTAAACGTGATATATCTATTTTCGACTTTTTCAATTTCATGACACTTTTTGGCTAGATGTTGACTCTTTGCCTCTAGTATTTTATGTCAAATTTCTTTTTGAATACTTTTATAAACTTTTTCGCTTGTCTCTGCTAGTCGACATTGTTCCATTAAATCCAATCTGTTTTCTGTCACCCAAGCCTTCTTTTTTAGTTTTGACCTGCCTTTTAAATTCTCTTCACAGATTTCCTTTATTGTTATGATGTTTAAGCCCCCTTCGACATTCTCACCGATATTTTCCCAAACAAAATTTTCTCTCAGTTATCTTGAACCGTTTCCTTAACTCTCTCGTATTTGTTGGGTTATATCAATATTTAGATTGTGATGGAAAAAGTTTTTTTTTCTCTTTTATATTTAACGCTTGCACGCAGTTAGTTTAGAAGTTGATAGTAGTATCCTTCAGTTATAGTTTTACGTTATTGAATACATAGGAGATGGGCATAAGTCAGCTGGTAAATTTGCAAAAAAAAATGTTTTGAAAAAAAAACACATTTACAAAACTTTGGTTTGTTCCTTATAAATACAAAAATATATGTATTTACAGTAAGTTGTCACACAAAAATATGTATGTACAATAACGTCGATCAAATTAATGATACTGACATTGATGATACCTAATTGGATTATTATCTTCTACATTTTCGGTCGTATACGCAAAAACTATGTTCTTAAGCATGTCTCACATTGATAAACACATAGGAGTAATATCTGGCGAAGTTGAAGGCCACTTTTCGTTTCCACCTCTATCGGACCATCCAAGAAAATGTTGTTTTAGGAAAGCGCTGACTTTCAGACCCAAGTGCGCAGGGGCGCCATTCTGCTGCAAAATGAGTTTTGTCCTTCGAATCTGTCACCTTCATCCCAAGTTACACGTAATTCTTGTAAAAGCTCCAAGTACCTTTTTGAATTAACGGACCTGTTAAAAAATAGTAACCAACAATCCCTCGATAATTAATTCCTGCACAAACCATACTGTTCTATTTCTTCTTTTATTACTATGGAAAATATTCTTGCTATTAAAGGCTGAGACCTCTATACACTGATCCCTCTACAGTTATTTGGTGACCTTTTGTCACCTTTTTTTAACATGGAGGACATGTATGATAGATTCCACTCCTCGGGACTGCTTCGATTTTATAGAACAACACTCATATAAATGATAATAATAATAATAATAAAGGTCTATTTTTTCTTCAAATTCATACAATACACGAAATATATAAATTATATATGCCTAAAATACAATAATAAAAGAAAAAATGCCGAAGGTCAGTTGGTGCTGATTTCAAGAAATCAGTACCTCTGCTTTTCATCTTAAGCAAGAGAAAAAAATATAATATATTTTTTTGGATGTTCCAAAAAAATAAAAAATATTGTCCAAAACTATCACACAGATTATACATACTTCATGACAGGTCGTCAAATAGTTGCACATGTGTTACTCATCTGGCAATTTAGATTTAAAGGATGTAAGACATTTCCTGTTATATCTTTCTTCAAAAATTTCCACCTCCATTGCCTAAATATTCTTGATATCGATTCATATGGAATCTTTTTACACCAACTCCAACGGGCCAGAAATCCGATTTATACATATCGTCCTTCTTGTTGAGGGGGGTCGATACCACAAATCGTTTTAGCATGTTTTCTTGGCTGAGTAGATCTTTAACCATAATTCTCTTCAATTCCGCGTTTGTCTCGTAAAAATGTACGAATATCTTCTTCTCTTGATGTTCTCCTAGTTCTGTATATGAATAACCAAACTTTACTCTCCTCTCCCTTAAAACCACTACCACTATCACCATGAGCTATTTCTACGGTGCCAATATTTCCTCTAGATTTTCGTAGTTTTCTCTTCACAACCTCAGTGTAGCTGTCATGCTCGTCTAGTGAGACTTTATCAATTTCAACATCAATCTTCAAACCTGTTTCCGTAACTGAGCCATCACAAGAAGTTTTGTTTATTTGCTTTTGAATTTTACACTTTTTTCAGATATCTTTTTTTCTAAAAAACTTACTCTTTGTAATAATAATGCATTATTTTCTTTTAAAATGCTTTTAAGTATTTCTGTATCAGCTGTTGATTTAACTACATTCAGGTTATGTTCACCATTCTCACAGAACTTTATTAAATTTTTCTCACAAAATTCAAAACCAGCCCTTTTTGCACAGCTGGGATGGAACACATTGAAACACCATTTACATACCACAATTTTGCATTCTTTTTTGGTGCAGCATTTGAAATTAATCTGCAAATTATTGTCACCATCAACTGACCCTTCGTCCTCGTAGCCGGCCATCTTTGATCCGATACGATCCTTGCGCCTCCATATTTCAGCAGTTACATTTTTATGTTCGCTGGTTTTGGTGCTTTGTTGTTTTCGGCTTTCTTTATTGCTTTAGCTAACTTCTGTTATTATTATCACATCGTCCTGTGAGACATAGCGAGACCAGATTTTAACGTATCATTTGATTGTACTCCATTGCAACTACACATATATGTTAAGTTCTCCACGAATAAACTAAAAATAAATTTGGTGTATGCATTTAATAGCAACGATGAAAGAATCTTTGTCTCACTTATCTTAAAACACTTGTTTTTTTGACATATTTCCATCAATTTAAATGAAAGCAACCTTATCAAATACAAATTAGCAATTATTCAAGAGTCTCCTCCATCTCTGACATCTTCTTGAATTCCATAAGCTTCTATAATATTGGATTGCATTCACTAAGTTACTAAAATTGATTTTAGGTGAAGGAGTTCAACAAGGTATGCTTAAAATGCTCGAAGGTACCATAGTTAATGTCCCCGAACGGAACTCACCCAGGAAACTAAGAGGAGAAACTATTCAAGTTGACACAACCAATATATTATTTGTAGCCAGTGGTGCCTACAACGGTTTGGAAAGAGTAATCCAAAGGAGAAATAATGAGAATGTAAGTAAATTGTTTTTGACCCAAAATTTTAACAAAATCATTAAAACCCGATAGTTGTTTCCATATGCTTAAACCACATATGAATTTTAAAACACAATTGACAAATATAACTCTTTTTTAGTACTTAGGATTTGGGGCACCAATTTCTTCCAGTAAAGGTAGGAGAGCTGTAGCTCAAGAAGCGACAATGCATCAGTCTTCCCAATCAGCTGCAGAAGAAAATAGCGAAAAAGATGTAGCCTTAAGACAAGTACAAGCAAGGGATCTCATGGATTTTGGAATGATACCTGTAAGTCGTTGATCTTCACTCAGTTATGTGTTTAGTTCATATATTGTATTTCTTTCAGGAATTTGTAGGAAGATTTCCCGTCTTAGTTCCTTTCCACTCCTTAGACCAGACTATGTTGGTAAGGATATTGACTGAGCCAAAGAATGCTTTGATTCTACAGTACAAACGATTGCTATCGATGGACAGTTGTGACTTGATATTTACACCAGAAGCTTTGAACGCCATTGCCCACTTGGCAATGGAAAGAAAAACGGGAGCTAGAGGATTGAGGGCAATAATGGTAAGTTTCGAACAAGGTGTTGTAAATTAGTGTTGCGTATCACACGCTTGTGATATTAGGACTGTTTTAAAGAATTTTCTTTTTAGTCTCTTAGGAATATTTGTGTCATATAACACATTACTTGCTTCAAAATAATTTCATCATTTGGAGATATCTTTTTCCTACTAATACAATGCCATACAAATTATTAGAAATGGGATTCCCTAAGTTTATAACTTTTTAAAGGTTTACTTGTAACCAAACAGAGAGATAGTGCACGAATTCATCTTACAATAGGGATATACGCGAAATCGTAATCCATAATCCGATGAAATTGAATTTCGATGATGATGATAATGTAGATTTTGCCTCGTTGGTGTAGACATCTATATGTGTTGACAAATTTATTTACTCGGCTCTTTTGTAAATACCAGTGTGAACATTCCATACATAGTGGAAAACTCTGGGTTCTATTGCCTGAACACTAATGAATATGTAGGGATGCAATATCTTGTCTTTTAAAAATTTCCAAAATTATTCTTAAAACAAGGTATGCTTCGACAAAGCTACATATTATTTTTCCTATCTAGTCTAGTCATTGCACGCATGATACTATGACTAACAAGAAAATATATTGCGCATACTCAAGAGAGGGGAGATTGAAGTCGTGACGTAATAGTTTGAATGGTTCGCGATTGTTAGCTAAGTTTATTTTATATTTTATCTGTGTAAAAATGAGATTGATCTTACTAAAAAGTAAAAAATGAGGTGTGCTGTTTTCAATTGTGATAACGATAATTAAAATAAAGGTTTTGCTGGAGAAATTAGATTTTTTCGGTTTCCCAAAGATAATGTTTTATGTAAGAAATGGGTTTATTTTTGTCGCCGGTCTGACAGATTCAATGTACTCACTACTCAATGTACTACATTTTACTAGTTATGATTTTGAAAGAGTCGGTCAGATAGCTCAGCGGGCTGTGCGGCTGCCTCTCATTCGCTTCACTGTCGAATGGTTCAGTGGATGTGGGTTCGAGCCCCAGTGTACAGAAAACAAAAAGTCTAACGCAGCAGTTTAAAATTCTAGATGAATCTGCGGCTTAGACTAGGATATGCTGGGATCTGATCGGCCTATGGTGGAGCAGTACGGCAAGAGATAAGGGCTTGCGGCTCGGTGATACTCCTCCATAGGTTCAGTGGATGTGGGTTCCAGCCCCAGTGTACAGAAAACAAAAAGTCTAACGCAGCAGTTTAAAATTCTAGATGAATCTGCGGCTTAGACTAGGATATGCTGGGATCTGATCGGCCTATGGTGGAGCAGTACGGCAAGAGATAAGGGCTTGCGGCTCGGTGATACTCCTCCATAGATCCCAGGCGTAACGCCTAAAAAACCGGATATATATATATATATATATATATATATATATATATATATATATATATATATATATATATATATATATATATATATATGATTTTGAAAGAGATTTAGTGGCAGAATTAGCAGGAAATGTCAGCAAGTGTAGAATACTTTTGAAAAAGTATTCAGTACCTTTCCTTTAGAAAACAGATTAGAGGAACCCTGTAAAAATTACGAATGGTAGATTAGTGGCCAGATTTTGATGATTGTGATATTGAGTTAAGAGATGATCAAAACATTCTAACATAAAAAAAAATAAAATCTTAAATGGGAAATAGTGCAAAAAAAATTAAAAATTGTTTCCAAATATTGTATTTGTGAAGTAGGCCGATTAACCCCCTCTGTGGCTCAGTGGTAAGAGCGCCTGCCTTACCACCTGGGTGGAAATTTTCGTTTATTAAAAAAATTAATAAATGAAAATAATTTCTATCCTTGTGTGATCGGTACACACCGGAGGGACCGCAGACGTTCGGATACAATTAGCGTCTCTTAGCAAAGACAATGACGTCGACTTTGCTAAGTATCAAGACAATTACTCTACACACACAAACACACACACTACATTAATAAACTTCTTGATTGAGACTGGCTGAATGACAATTGTCCAAGCCAAAACACACAAAAAAAAAAGTAGGCCGATTAAATATTTTTATATGCTTTGTATAATTTTTAAACGGGAACCTAAACGAAGCCTTATTCCCTCAAATATTTTTATGTCCATTGTCATAAAGGTATTGCCTCCTGGGTTGGCCATGGAAAGGGAAATGTATTTTTTTTTAGTATCCTCGACGTTTTCCACATTGCTCGAAGACAAAGACACTGGTAACATGTATTGAAATTACCTATTATATTATTTTATAGTGAATAATTATCTGTAATAAAACAGTCCAAAATGGAAAGTATGGACTTGGAGAAAGGAACGAAAGAGGGCAGAGACTAATACAGTTTTGTCAAGAAGAGAATTGCATTGTAGCAAATACTTTGTTTTAACAACCTAAAAAACGACTATATACCTGGAAATCTCCAGCTGATCAAGAAGGAAAGGTAGTCAGAAATCAAATCGACTACATTATCATTAACAGAAGATTTAGAAACAGTATTACATATGCAAAAACATTCCCAAATGCAGAAGCAGCAACTAATCATAATCTGCTCTGTTCTGGATTCAAACTAAAATTCAAAATAATAAAAACCCCGACAGCTCAGAAAAAACATGATAATCGACTCCTAAGAAATGCCGTAATAGCAGATGAATTCGGAAATAAGATAAATCATGACATTAAAAAAACAGCTAGAAAGATCTGAACAAGAAAATATCGGACAAAATATAGATATAATGAATTCCGCCATGGTTACCATAGAAGACGAAGTTTTAAAATTAGAAAAGAGCCAGTAAAAAAAGGATTGGATGACCGATAACATACTAGACCTTATTCAGCAAAGAAGAAATTGTAAAAATAAAGATGAGAGTCGATATAGAAAAATATATCGAAAAAAAAGATACGAGGTTAAGCGAGCAAAAGAGGACTGGATGGAACAGAGATGGCGTAAGATGGAAGAACTACAAAGAAAAGATGACGAGTTTTATATACACAAAAAACTTAAGAAATTACCTACACTCAGAGAAAAAGAACTCCTCACCGTATGAGAAACTCCAAAGGTAAAATTATTCTCGACTTAAACGAAAAAAAGAAAGAATGGACCAACTAAGTATACGAATACTGGTCCTAGTATTTTAAAAGCAGAACTAGAAAAATCCATCAAACAAAGCAAAAATGGGAAATCTCCAGGCTCTGACCAACCACCATCAGACTGGCTCAAACTTCTAGACGACGACAATGTCTCAGAACTAACAAACATTTATAACCATATATACGAAACTGGAACACTGCCACAAATATGGTTGGAGTCTACATTTATCCCACTTAAAAAAAAACCTAATACATCATCGTGTAAAGATTCAAGAAGACGCAAAAGGAAATACACAATTCGGTTTCAGAGAAGGATTAAGAACAAGGGAAGCTTTGTTCTCAATGTTAACACTACTTCAACGATCATGGGAAGTACAGAAACCAATTTACGTCTGTTTTATAGATTTTGAGAAGGCATTTGATAGGGTTCAACATGGTAGACTGTTTGAATATCTAAAAATAATGGAAATAGATGATAAAAATCTGAGACTTTTAAAACATCTATATTGGAATCAAGAAGCTTCTATTCTGGTAGACGGCAAAGAAACAGACAAAATTTGTATTCAAAGAGCTATTAGACAGGGTTGTGTGTTGTCTCCAACTTTGTTTATCGTTTACTCAGAAATAATTTTTAACAAAGCCTTATAGATCCAAGCCAATAGATCGAGTCACTAGAGAATGCTCTAATAACGGACTAATCCTAAATACAACAAAGACAAAGTTACTTGTGGTTAGTAAACAAGACCTCGGCGCTATACAACTGATTGTCAATAATGAACCGATAACAAAAGTTAACCATTTTAAATATCTAGGATGTTGGATAAACGAGACACTAAATCCGGATGAATAAAACTCGTATAGAAATTGCAAGAGGAGCATTTATGAAACTTAGATCTATTCTGAGCAATTCTCAGCTGAACTTACAGCTGAGAATTAAGTTCCTAAAATGTTATGTGTATCCTCTATTACTGTATGGATCTGAAACCTGGATTATTAAGGTTAACATGATGAACAAATTAGAAGCCTTCGAGATTCGGGTATATCGTAGAATGCTCAAAATATCATGGGTTCAACACATTTCAAACAGAGAAGTCTTGAACAGAGTAGGTCAAGGTGAAGGTGACTTAATAAAGATGATAAAAAAGAGAAAACTCGAATAGCTAGGGCAGATAATGAGAGAAAGCAGATACAGGATAATACAGTTAATACTCAACGGAAAGATCGACGGAAGAAGAGGAATTGGTAGAAATAAATACTCATGGCTCCGAAACCTTCGTCAATGGACTAGCTTATCAGCAGAGGAATTATTACATGCCGCGCAAGATCGAGAACGAAATCGGCAAATCGTCATGGAAGCTACCCACACCTAAAACTTGGGCACGGTACTCAAAGAAGAAGAATAAAACAAATTTAGTTTAACACTAAAATGTTTTTGAATACATTGAAGTGTGTCTTGCACATATTTGAACATGTTTATTTTTGTATGTATCGATAAATTATATTTAATAAATAGTTTGGAGATATCCTTATGCGTACAATTATTGTAGTTATTAAACCTCTTAAACTTGTTTTGAATAACGCTGGGCCCATAACGGTTTCTTAATATTGTTCTGAAGCTATTTTTTTTGTGGCATTTTAAATTAATTACTATTTAACTGGGAATAAGCCACAATTAAAGATAAAAATACGTTTATTGACGTTTGAATTTCCACTTCGGAATTTGTTCTCAAAATACAAACAGTAAATTTATTTACTCTAAAATTTATTTTCGTCTATACTAAAATCACAATCAGATGCACTAGACATAAACAAACTAAGACACGTTAAAGGTTAGAAAGAGTACTCTCAAAGAATAATTTACAATGTATATACATTGTATAAATCCCAAATCATGATTTACAAAGTTTATATATTGTAAATCATGATTCCCGAGTGTTCTTCCTAACATTCAAGTGTCTTGGTTTGTTTATTTCTATACTCTGTTTTTTAACCAGGAGGAGTAAACCAAAAAGACAGATTCACACCCAAGAAAGTTACTAAAAAAGTCACCAAATACATCTTTTTTTTTTGTTGATTATCTCGGCCTTGCGGTAATCGAGTAATCAATATCCGACAACCTCACACCTCAATTTTAACCTAATTTTGTTTATTTATGTTTGAATAATAAAATATTTTTTTTCAATTTACTTCCAATATATATTACAATTATTACAATAATTTTTTTATTCGCACTTTTTTCTCATTTGGTCCCATGTATCATCATCATCATCATCATCCAGCCTCTATTTATCACGTCCACTGCTGGACATAGGCCTCCCTTAAACTCCTCCATTCCTCACGATTTTGTGCTCTTTGTTGCCAATTTTTAGTGATGCGCCTGATGTCGTCGGCCCAGCGTGTAGGTGGTCTTCCTCTACTGCGTTTGTCTGCTCTTGGCCTCCAATTTATAATTTTGCTCGTCCATCGTGAATCGTGCATTCTTGCTACATGGCCTGCCCAGTTCCATTTTAGTTCCGCTATGCGTTCCACAACATCAGTAATACTCGTCCTTCTTCGCAGATCTTCGTTTCTTATTCGGTCCCTCAACGTCACTCCCAGCATAGACCGTTCCATTCGTCTCTGTGCCACTCTTAGTTTCGAAGCCGTGGTCTTGGTTAAAGTCATAGCTTCCGCCCCATAGGTCATGACCGGTAATACGCATTGGTCAAACACTTTTCTTTTGAGGCTGATTGGTATGTTGGCCCTAAGTGTGTCTCGCAGTGTTCCAAAGGCTGCCCATGTTAAAGTAATTCGTCTTTGGATCTCACATGTTTGGTTATCCCTGCTGATTCTTATTTCATGACCCAAATACGTATATTTCTCCACCAGTTCTACCACTTTGTCTTGAATAGTCAAATGGTTATTGGGGACCAAATTTGTCATAAACTTAGTTTTGGTCAAGTTCATTCTCAGGCCCACCTTCGAACATGCAAAATCCGATTCGTTTATCATATCTGTAGCTTCTCCTAAATTATCTGTGATAAGGACAATGTCATCTGCGAAACGGAGATGGTTAAGCTTTTCGCCGTCTATCGTTACTTCTCTGTGGTAGCAATTGATCATCTTAAAGGCATATTCTAATGCCGTTATGAATAATTTCGGCGACAATGTATCTCCTTGCCTTATTCCACGATTTATTTTTATTGGTCGGGTTTTATTGTCTATTTTAACAGTCATAGTGGCATTTTTGTAAATATTATAAATAAGCTCACTATACCTATGGTCAATCCTGCTGTCATTAATTGCTTCTATAAGGCTGTCTAATTCGATCGTGTCGAACGCTTTATGAAAATCTATGAAAGTAAGAACAAGAGGTTTGTTATATTCTATAGATTTTTCAATGAGTGTTTTTACTGTGTGGAGGTGATCATTGGTACCATAATTTGAGCGGAATCCTGCCTGCTCTCTCGGTTGGTAGAAATCTAATTTTTTCTCCAATCTTGATGTCACTACAATAGTGAAGAGCTTGTATATGTGGTTCAACAGGCTAATAGGTCTATAATTTTCTAGGTCCGTTCTATCTCCTTTTTTATGCAAAAGGATGGTTGTAGCATTGTTCCACTCTTTGGGCACCTCTCTTTGCTGCAAACATAGATTGAATAATTTCCTTAATTTATTTAATAGCATATCTCTTCCATTTACGATAGCTTCTATTATGATTCCATCCTCTCCTGGGGCTTTGTTATTTTTATTTTTCTTTTTTTTTTTTTTTTTTATACCCATGTATACATATTTAAATATCGGGTGATCCAGTTTTATAGATCTCTTTAGTCTAGGGTATTTAATTATAATTTAGAGAATATTTTGATCGGGAGAGTCAATAATGTTACAGATAGTTTTTCTCAGAAATTTGTCTTTTAATAGTAGACCATATTCTTATTCTGGTATGATCAATTTCTTGAATCTAGTTTTTTTTTTTCTTACCAGATACTTTGTATAAATAAGTGTGTACTTACAATTTCTTAATGCTGAATTCTTGTTTAATTTTGACAGTGAGTTTGTCCCATTTGTTATCAACAAATAAAATTTACTAAAAAATACTGGATTTCTGTGAGATAATCAACAAATCCAATCTATTATGTTACATTCTTGCATAATTTTGCAGTTTTCTTGTGATGATCTACAACCAGGAAGAACAAAACCAACTGTATCAATACAATCAAACTAAAACACAACATTACTTTACTAATGTTCTTTTATTATGATGAAAACTAAAATGGAAATGCTTCTTAACAAGTATACACTAAATTTAAAAGATAGTTGCCGTTTTCCTTATAATAATTAGATATAAATAACATACATTTATAAATTTATAAACACTTTAAACTATATTTAGTATAAATATCACATTAAATACTATTCGCATATCACCAAGTCCAAGTTATTACAAACAACTTAAAGAGTTAGAAATCGATTTATATATTAGAGCAAAATAATAACAATAAATAAATTTCACAAATGTCATTAGTGTCAATATGTCATACTTTAGTGGAGTAAACTTGCCTGCGGTTGGACCAATTGCAAACAAGCATTACGGCGCGGAAAATTTGAATTACTCCTCCTAGTTAAAAAACAGACCATAGTGCATCTTGATTGTGATTTTAGTATAGTTTCTTCTTATAGTTTTTTTTAATATTATATTGTTCTTGTATTTTATAAACAAATAACAGAAAAAAGTCGTTTAATACTATTTTGCTAATTGAATAATTTGATCACAGAATGCATACAAATCCCATTTAACTTTAACAGGAATTCAAATTCTACTCTCCAATTACGTCATGCGCGAACACGACCGATTTTGCGCTACGGGAAGATCCTATCTTGTCAATTATAGTATCATGATTGCACGTGTTCCCAGTTCCCAGTAATTGGGCGATCAGTCTGAGAAAACCTTGCACTAAAAATTAAAAACAACCAAATTAGACGTAATACTTACTTTGTTTTGGGCTGCATTTACTTAATCCTCAAGCCAAAACAAACAAAAAATAATATAAAAAACTAGCCTATATAAATTGCTTTCTTTTAGGAATCTCTTCTTTTGGAACCGATGTTCGAAATACCTGGTTCTAACATCTCAGAAGTTCACATCACAGAAGACTATGTGAAAGGAAAGGGCAAACCATCTTATATTAAAAATCAAGTACAAACTGAAGAAGGCGAGTTCAATACGTCTATCAGAGTAAAACAATGAGATTGACTTTACTGTAATTAACTGATTGGGTAATTGTCGCACTAGAGATGGTCTACGAAAGTTCGTTATTTATAGTATATTGTTTTATTTGTATATTCAATGGTTTTGACTGTATCTTTAGTTGAATTATTAAATAATGTATAGATTAACATCCGAGGAAAATACTTTTTGGCGACTATAGTTTCCTCTGTATCTTTCGTAGATTAGCTAGTAATGTTTGTTTTTAAGATTAGAAGAATTGTTATTCGATAAAAAATAGATTATATTTTTAAAAGCAAAGTGAGTCCAAAAGGTTTAAATGTCTAAATATGTATATTTTAAATTTGCATAGTTTAGTCAGTTTAGATTCTATTTAAAACCGATTCAAAATCGGTTGAAAGTTTTATCTTTCGAGAATTAACTTGTAATTAAAAATTTTAAATCGCTCTTAATTTTTTAATTACCTTTCTTTTCAAAATCGAAGACTTAACAATAAAAATTTTAAATTACTGCTAATTTTTGAATCACCTTTCTTTCCAAAATCGAAGGCTACTTATAACTAATATTGAGTAATATTCCAATATTCATGGATGTCTTTTAAGTATCCTGTTTGATACAATTTGATCTAATCCAAGAAATTGTATTTATTGTGTGAACTGATTTTGATATTGGTATCAAAATTGTTATTTATTAATTGCTACTGGTTTGACGCAGTATCGTTTTGATACTTTCTTTAATCACACTCTTATCTTTTTTGTCTTTATACCTTTATATAAGAACATAAGTGTCTTTCTTGATTGTTAGGAAAGACTTTTAGTAAAAGGCGCCATTAACAAAGTTGGTTTTATTTAACCCATCTTAAATTATACATCTTCAAACTAACCTATTTGATTTTGTTACCAAATTGTAACGGTGAAACCAAGTCCGTGATTAAAACACCGCCTGATCTTTCCCAAGGCCTATTCATTTTTCGAAGGATGTGAAATAGTGGTAGAGAGAGTGGGAGGTTGGTCGTACCTCTACAGAGGTTTGTAGTTCAAAATCAAAGTATGTTTACCTGTAATTGCTTAAGAGCGCTCTGTCTTTGCAGGAAATACATTCTAATGGTAGCCAGTTTGCAACTAATCTGCGCTTTAAATTTATTAAATACTGAACATTAAAAATGACATCTGAAAACTATTATCCAACCGAATTCGAAAATAATTAGTTTTTGGCGGGTTGACATATGTCAGTGGTCTCTGTTGCTTTCAACAATAATGTAAAAATATTTTTCAGTAACACTGAAAAATATTGTTTTTAAAAAAATCTGACACTGTTTATACTTTCTACACATCTCAGGTAATCTTGCGGACGCGTTATGAACTAATTTCATGACTGCCATTTATATGTTTTGCAAAGTTTACTTTTTCAGATCTGATTTGATGATTTCGGTTTTAAGTTCTTTATTGATATCCAGTGTCATCGTTGTAGAAGTTTTAAAATTCATTACAGTTATCAAAGTTCACCAAAAAATAACAAGACTTTCTCATAATGTTAAATTATGTGTGTAAATTAAAAATTTTATTTTTTATTTATTTTCCATATTTATTCTTTCTAAATTATAAACAAACTGCGATAGACACAAACTCTTTAATAAATATGTCAAAGGTCTTGTTTTCTTCAACACTATTGACAATTGGGCAGAGCTGTATTGTTTATACGATAGAACTATTGACTATGGAAAATCCATTGATTCACTTTGCAGTACAGACTATCATTGAAATTTGTGATTTTATAGATTAGTTCCTGTTTTGACGATTTGATGTAATATAAAATATATGCCGGTTCGATGTAAATAGACAAACCTTATATATTTATTGATGAAAAATGTTAATAAAAAATTGAAATTTTGTGGGGACTTTTGATTTTTATTTTTAGAACATATTACCCTGATAAATTACTACAAGAGTTTCCAGTAGAACATATAAGGAAATCGTGCGAACGGCCATCGTCTATTGCCTCAGTATTCGTCCGAACTCTATGATGTAATGATGGCTCTATGGAACGATTTTTCTGATTCTGATGAAGAATTCTCTTTACAGGTACCTAGCAACTGGAGCGTCATTCAACGATTTTTGCTATTATGTCCGAATGTCACAGTTGAAACAATTATTCACGAAACTTGTGCAGTCATATGGGAATCATTAAGCAATATGGTGCATATGGCATTCCCTTTTGACAATGAAATCTCAAAAGAATTTTGGACGAAATGGTAATTTCCGAATTGTGTGGTATGCATTGATGGAAAGGACATTCGTATCAAAGGTCCGTCGAATTCTGGTACAATGTTTTATAATTGTAAACAATTCTTTATTATATTTTTGCAAGGAGTAGTTGGTCCTAACTACAAATTCATTTGCATCGATGTTGGGGCCTATCGGAAACAAAGTGACGGTGGGATATTTGATCTTTCCAACTTAAACAAACATCTTCAGCGTGGTGCCGTCAGAGTCTTCTTCTTCTACTTCTTGGAGATCTTTCGATCTGTTTAATTCTGAAGCTGCCTCTGGTTAATTTTCTGGGAGGTAGATTGCCAACTGTCCCTCCATTTTTGGGGTGTTTTTCCGAGAGGTCTTGAACCGGGCGGCTTGTTTTCTAGGGCAATTTTTGGGAGTCTATTCTCATCCATTCGTCTTACATGATTGTACCACATTCTCTTACGCTGCCAGTAAGTACCAGTTTATAAGTAAAAAACTAAGAGTAGAAACTAGTCGATAGTATTAATTGTCAACTTGGTGGACAGTGGGCCATTCTGTTATTTTCCTCCAAAATGGGATACTGTCATCGTCGATAAATCTTAGTATTTTTCTAATGTTTTCAACCTTGGATGACATTAATGGGCGTTTTTCAGAGTAAGCTCGCGTTGAAGGCAAAACTATAACTTCTTCGGTTATTTTTCGAAGGTTAAACTTCTCAGATATGGCACCATTAATGAACTCACTGCACATGATGATGCTAAGTTCTGCTCTATCGCATTTCATGTGATGGTAAGTTGAAATTTGAAATCTTATTTTTCTTTCCTTGGGAACTTTTATTCCACAGGATGAGTTACTAAGACACGTTTTTTTATAATAACGTGGCCACTAATTACTGAAGCCGAGAAAAGCATCGTGTCTCAGCAGGTGTAGGTACTCGAAATTTTGACGGGTTTTTAGAAGCACTCATTATCGCATTAAGAATTTCTTCTACCAGATACAGCCTGTCAATTTTCTTTAGCTTCCTCTTGATCAAGGCAAAATCTCGATCACACGGCATGTATGAGTGACCCCTAATCGGATAGAGCAATTCAACGCTGTCAAATTTACCTAGTTCAACAAATGTCATGATAAACCTTACAATAGGATGGTTTTTATTTATGTTAAACCACAGAACAACTTATAAATAAAGATCACGATAGTTCAGCAAGAAACTTACTAAGTCTGTTTGTTGGGAAAATGTATTTTATAAAAGTTTCCAAAATCACCGTGGTTACCATATTTTTCAAATCTTTCTACTATCTCTTTAAATTTTACATGTTACCCATGTTAACCTCAAATGACTTGTAAATATTTCTTGAATTTAGACCAATATAGTGTAATAGTAGAGCTACCTTTCTCGCATCATTTTCCTTCTCTAAACCTGTCACCCTCCAAAATATTTTGAAATTCATGCACCATTCTTCCTAGTTGTAAGCCAAATTTCCCTCCATTGACAAAAGTTGAATTTCATTGCCGACTACGTTACATTTTATTTTTACAACGACTGGTTGGTTCTGCTCGACAGCATCTTGTTCTTCCATGTCCATTTTATATCTTGGCTGTTTTTAATAATAGATCTCTATTTCCTTTTAATACCCCAACACGTGTTCTTAGGTTATGTTTCGGTTTTCGTAACTATTATTGTGCTATTATAATGACTCTTCGATATTTGTCTTACTTTTTTTTACTTCTGACACCATGTTTGTTCTACTCTGTGGGCTTTTTGTTATAATAGGCGATTCATTTCTGTATATTTTAGTTATTACCAGACAAACTAATACTAATACATAATTATCTATAAAAAGCCATTCACGAGGAACCGCAAAGTGGTCGACACCTGGTGGTAGATTTCAAAAGCATCCACTTCAGGAAAATCTTGAAATTGTCAATAATTTGTATACATATTAGCGACCGGTTTATATTGTAATTAACAATGACTTCGACTTGAAAAAACTATTGCAATGTTCCTCAATGTTTATCCTATTATAATTCAGAAAAAAAATCCATACATAAATTTCCGCTAGACGAGAATATGAGAAAAGTTTGGTAATGCATTTTGCGAATTGGCAAACCTATAATGTTGTTCGGTGCTATAACCAAGTACATGACTGTGCAGATTACATTTTACTGAGAACGATTACTTTCCAAGTAACTATTGATTGAAATATTCTTTATATTTTAATATATTTATACATAATTTACTTTAAAGTATCATCTGAAACTAAATTGAGAAGACTGCAGAAAAATGCTGTTCTATCAGCTAAATCGCCCCAAGGGCCTCATTAGTAGAAAACGTAAGGCGTAATTTACAAAATATAAGCTCCAAAAACTACCTTACCCTCACATAACATAACAAAGGGCATTATGTAGGTTCGTCTGTTACTATTGAGTTAAGGCTGATGTCAGTGATAGTGGGCATCAGTTTTCCGCCGTTGTGTTTGTCAACCGGGATCCCCAAAGTGCATTTTTGGCGTTAAAGCGTTTGGCATTACTCTCCAGTACTACTGATGTGGTTTGTATCTGTTTCTTCTTATAATTTCTTTCTTTCTTCTTCTTATTATAATTGCTGTTTCCCCGTGGGCTGTATTATCTGGGTACTTAGTGTGATAGATATTTTATTTTGGTATTTTTAGATAATTTTTACTTGCAAAGTGTGTTTTCGTAACTAGTAAAATATCAATACTGTTATTAATGATAAATATTTTGATTTCTTGAGCCTGTAAACTCATTCTGTTGCCATTCCATTATACTATCTTCAACAGCTGTCGTCATTTCAAAATCAGTGTGATCAGGTTAATCATTGTCCCCATAAGATCTCTCATCATTACTTTGAACTCAGCGAGATCAGAGTGCTGGGTATTGACCGATTGATTTGGCTGAGTTATATTATTAGCAGCATATGTTTGCTAAGATGTGGCTTGCGTGTTAGTTAACCCTGAATTTGTAGGTTGTTGTGCTTCTCTCTTTATGTTTGTTGGTTTTGTCTCTTAATCTGGGGTATGTGTTTTGTTGCAA